TCTGCTCGGCGGCTGGAGGAGTTGCCGACGAAGATAACATATATCCATGATCGAAATTGCTTTTCATCAAAATAAACTTGACTCGAATAAAAGTTTGACAATGTCACGAACTTGAAATCTAATAAAAGCCGAGTTTGGCTGGAAGTATTCCTTCAGAAGTGTTGTCTCCTTGTACTCCTGAGAGTAACAAATTTCAGCTTCGGAAGCATCGCAACATCGTATTCTCGCCGATGAACCGGTTGAGGAACGAAGAACGAGCTCGGATCCCTGCCTCTTGCCAAGTGATGTCGGGCCTTGCAGGTCTCCACTAGTACTTTTTTCTACAATCGTTTGTTCTTTTTTTAGATAACTGTATTGTCTATGCACAGGGACAGGCAATACTGCCTAAAAATATAGCAAGAGTTTTTCATTATCAATACTACCCTTCTTCCATCCCAGGATTTGAAGTCCCAGTCAATATTATGAAGTGTGGATTAAAATGAACGGCTCAGTTTCCACCTCGGTGAGCCCTCAGAGCTTTTGAGAAGGGTATCCATTGAACTTTTTCTCCTACTGTGGTTTATGGCTGGAGGTTCCGACAAAAGACGAGCCACGAAGCAAAATCTACCTCACAGAGGAGTCCCATCCTTTCCCACCTAATCTTGACGTCCTGCATCCCCTACTTCTTCTTCGTCCGCCTTTTGTTTCCTTTTCAACTAGTCAGCAGAAGGAGGTGACAACGCCTTATAAAGGCAAGAATTCTTGTAATCACTACTCGCACTTAAAGGCAGTTGGTACTATAACTTGGTACTCGCCCTTTCAGCTAGCAGGGCGCGGTAAAAAAGGTTGTAAAGCGGTGAAAATCCTGCGAAGATAAGTTTTGGTTTCCAATAAATTTCATGATTCGAAAAGCAAAGGACGAGTTTCCCGTAGGCATCGTGCCAGTAACCGGCTATGATAGGTACGGCTGGTATGCACCCATACATCCATGGAGCATCGTGGCCGCTTTATACCAATCCCGTCGCTCCATATTTTACTTCGCGAATGAAGCCAAAAGCACAAGACTCGTCCATTGGTGGGCGGACGGTGGGCACTATGGTCAGTATGTTGCAGCTTGATAGTACCTCACAAGGTACTTTTCTTAAAAAAGGCCCACGCAGCGCCTGCTCAAGGCGCGGGATTCTGTCCTGCCAGGCGTATTAATTCTACTCGTCTTAGGGATTTATCGTGCCAACTGCCTTTAATTATTCCCGAGCTGTCCGTTGTTGCGATATGCAATGTTCCAGGGCATATGTTCCATCATTTCTACTACGATTTCAACGAAGGCGTATGCAAGGAGTTCATCTACGGTGGCTGTGGAGGAAATGCGAATCGTTTCGAAACTGCCAGTGAATGCGCAGTCAGATGCTCACGACTTCATCAAGTAAGCAATTACAGCTATTTGAGGCCACTTTAGATTCCGAATATTTGGATTCTGAATACTAATTCTGCGCTCTGCCACCCTTTCTGAGTTGATACTTTCGTATGCCAATCCTCGGTCGAACTTTTCCCTCAGTTCGTTCCCGAGTAGTACTTTGTAACGATAGTGGGAGATAGACGCGAAAACCGCGTCTTAGAAGGGTCCATGCGTCTCAGTAGTCTCAATGAAACTCTTCCACTGTCTTAATCTCGATGTACGTAAATGAGGGGTAAGTGCTCAGCTGTCTTCGAAACCAGAAGAGTAATTTGAGTTCCGAAGGAAATTTGTGTTTTGAATCTCCACCGAAGAGAAGGAGGTGAAGTGAAGGATCATCTCTTTCAGGGGGAGGAGGGGGAAGACGAGGTATGTTCACAGAGTGTGCTGGTTGTGGGCGACTGGGAGGACAGATGTTACTACGAGTATACCCCAGTCAGAGTACAACATCGTGATGCGTGAAATGGTGGTGTCAGTACACCCCCTCCTAGGGGAGGGTTTCTGTCAGACCCTCCCCCTTCCAAAGCTTCCGACCACTTTTCCTGATCTTCCCGAGGATTTTCCTACTTGTCTCCGAAAATTTTGCTGTCGACCGGGGGGGGGGGCATTAGCATATAGCCAATGTGAAACCGGAAATACACGAAAAGTCATCAACCAGGAGAATTCCAACGCGACAAATTTCTCTAAAAGGCACATACGACCCTCCCCCCTTTCCGAATAACCAAACACGACCCCCATTCCCAGCAGTACGACCCCCCCCCATGTGTTTTACACAACGATGCTTTGCCCTGACCGCAGATCCCTGAGATGCGGAGGGCGTGGCTGCGTAATTTCAGCGCGGCGGCGGTTGCGTTTTCTGTGAGTTATTGCTATTTCCAGATAGCTGTATGAATTGAGCTGTCCCACGAATAAACCGTCCTCGCAGATCAAAATGTCGTATGCACACTCCTTACCCCACAGTAGAGCCAGAGTAGGCGGGCATTTGAACATGGCACGGAATTGGTTACTCGTGGGAATATTCCAGTCTGGGACAACTGTCATCTTGTTCGCGTTAGACAGGAAAAAACAATTGTGTCAAGATGGAAATATTCCACCAGAAGTATAGACACCTTCAGTCTAAGTCGGATTATGGAGCCACGCCTACCCGATCTCAGGGATTTCCAGTGTAGCGCGTCCGATGTGTCTGGATTGTAGAAATGCAGGGAGCGGGTGCACAAGAGAGCAACTCTTTGGTGCACTGCCCGTTCCTCCTTGATCCGGCAAATATTCACCAAAAGCCACGCTCATAGCAGAGTCAGTTGACACTCCCTAGCCGAAATAAGAACTGTACATCGTCAGCGCTCCATCGAGTTTGCCTCTCTTATTTTGTAGCACACTCTTGCAACTACAGGTCAATTTTCACGCAATCCAGAGCCTGCTCCTTAGTTATTAAATGAGCGAAATCACTTCAGCCAAGACGAGAATCAAGTTATGCTCATCCCACGGTTGAAGCACTTCAGTACGTAGCGCCGGAAGATATACCATTTGAACAATCTGTACCGGAACAGACATCTCAGGAAAATTATGGCGACAGGGTGGCCGACGAGGTTTTGCAACGAATGGATTACGATGAGAAAAAGGTGATAAACTACAACCGTTCATCACATGTCTAAATTTCTCGATCCGATTTCTTTGAGGTTCTGGCTATTGGGAAGGTTTCGCTGTCGCCTTATGGTCTACCAGAACTTTGCAGTTTACCTGAGGAACATGGATCCTGTTACGACGACATACTGAGATGGAGGTCTGCGAAAAGTTTCATCTTGAAAGAGAAAGCAGTCTGAGAGCCTCTGAATTCTGAGTGTACCACATAGTGTGA